AGCCTTTTTTTATTGAAAAATTCTTAAGATCGAATTGTGGCCGAAAGTGGTAAGGTCTCATGCCAAATAAGAGGTTGACCTTCCTTGTACTAACCATTTTATTGTTTGCATTATTTTTTTCAATTCTAGAGTAAATTATACACATAGGCGCGTTTGGTTCATGAAATGTAAGATTACCAGTGGGAATGTAAGATTACCAGTGGGAATGTAAGATTACCAGGGAATAGGATTACTGGAAATGTTGTATTTTGTGTTTGGTTGGCTTAGCAGGAATGTAAGATTACCGTGTTTGGTTAAAAGAATAAAAGATTATTAAAATGTATATTTGACCAAATTGGCCTTATTATATATTTATTTTTTAACAAGTTGGAATATATTTATATATTTTCTTTAAAAAATTTCTAAAATTTATATAATTTTTTTACAAAATTAAAAATATAAAAAGGTTTAATGAAAGGGTAAAATTTTATTTTAACCCCTAAACTTCATATAAAATTTTAATTATAGATTTTTTTTTGTAAATCTAAAATAGTTTAAGGATAAATTTATAATTTAACCTTCGTAGAATTTTTATTATTCAATGAAAGAAGAATGATATTTTTGAAGAAAAAAATTTAAGGGTGTTTTGGACTAAAATGTCCTTAAAAAATTTCTTTAAAAAATATCCTTATTCTGTCATTGAATAATAAAAATTCTACGAAGGTTAAATTACAAATTTATCCCTAAACTATTTTAGATTTACAAAAAAGTCTATAATTAAAATTTTATATGAAGTTCAGGGGTTAAAATAAAATTTTACCCTTTCATTAAACCTTTTTATACTTTCAATTTTGTAAAAAAATTATATAAATTTTATGAATTTAATTTTTTTAAAAAAATATATAAATATTTTCCAACTTGTTAAAAAAAACAAATATATAATAAGGACAATTTGGCCAAATATACATTCTAATAATCTTTTATTCCTTTAACCAAACACGATAATATTACATTCCTGCTAAACCAACCAAACACAAAATACAACATTCTCAGAAATCCTATTCCCTGGTAATCTTTTATTTTAACTAGTGATCTTACATTCCGTGAACCAAACGCACCCTTAATGTTTAAACTTATTACTTTCGTTTCATTTTGATATTTGAATTTTATATTTTTAAAATCATACTTAAATTTAGTTTAGTATTCATTTTGATATTGGTCATTAATTTTTTTAACAATAATATTAACGTATTACCATAAGATAATATCATATAATTATTGAAAAAATGTTATTTCAATAATTTTATTAATTTTTAGCTATTAGTACAAAATCAGAATCTAAATTAAATGTTAAATATAAATTTTTAAAAAATAAAGTTAAAATATCAAAATGAAATAAAAATAATAATTTAGATATTACGCATATAATTTACTCTTAATTCTAATGCTAGAGTAGTGTCTAATAAAAAACACATTATCTTCAGCAACAACTAGTTAGTCTAGCAGGATGAGATATTAGGTCTCTTAAGCAATGTCAGAGGTTTGAATTCTAGTGTTTGCAAATGAAGCAAACTGGGTTGGGAGGGTCGCTATCGCCTCTGTAGTACCCGATCTTAATTAGTCGGTCAATAGATCAGATACCAATAATTAATTAAAAAAATCTCCTTCTCTACAACTTGTGTGTATTGGAACTTTTACATTTCGGTTAGCCAAACAGCACCAGTCTCCGCCAAAGTTGTGGAAATTTGTGTACACGTCTTGCAAAAATTATAAATAAATAATAAAAATTATTAAATATTAATATCATGGGTGTATTTTAAGGTTTATTTCAAGGTGCGTAAATATTAAAATTATGTGTATATGAATTTATTTTTAAAATATTATTTAACTCATCAAATAACCAAATAATTTTAATGCTCGAAAAGATGATTGTTATAGGGTAAACTACTCAGTTGATCATTTATTTGTTTAGCTCTTTACTTTTGTTATTGATATTTCAATTTTTTTCAATCACACCACATAATTATTTCATTGTTTTAATCAAGTCACTAACAGTTAAAAATTAACGGAAATGATGACGTGATAGTTAAGAGAATAGACATAATTCTACTTTTAGTCTTTAATATTTATATTTTCTATCAATTTGATTATGATTTAAATTTAATTTAATAAATTAATTATTCAATCAGAATATGACACATGTTAACATACAATCATGACATGTATCGTTGGTGAAATGTATCATCAGCTGATTTGAAGATTTATTTTATTTATTTTAATTTATCTAATTAAATTATTTTTTATCCAACCGAATGGTGACATATGTCACCTTCCAGTTGAAGGAAAAATAAGACAAAAAGAAGACATAAAATGGTGTTGTTGGGCAACTTCAAACCTAGGTCACACGGGTGAGGGGAATAATCCAAACCACTGAGCTAGACTCGCAGTTTGAGTTCAGAGATGCACAACAATATTAATATATAATGATACTATAATTAATGTCACCTTCAAAATTTTAAAATTAAAATATGTATTTTTTAAACTAAATTTAATATTTATTTTTCTTTTTTACCTTCAAAATTTAAATTTAAAATATGTATATTTTTAAACTAAATTTAATATTTAGTTTTCTTTTACATTTACTGTTTAATGGTTATATATATAATTTTTAAATATATGAATCATTTATATTTTTTATATTTTATTTTTCTTCTAAAAGCTGGTATTTAAATATATTAAAATATATATTAAAAATACTAAATATATATATAAATATATTTTAAATACTAGTTTTTAGAAGAAAAAATATAAAAATATAAATTAAATCATTTATATTTTCTATATATTTTTTTAAATAACTAGATATTTCATTTATTAAAAGTCGTATCAACAAACGTCCTGTCAATTACAAACTGAACAAATACAATTAAGACTATCGAAAATAAAATATAACAATGATTGCTTAGTGATAGTCTGATAAATAAAACCATTAACAAGTGGAGCAACGACGTACGTAAACTGAACACACCAATGACTTCGAGCATCAAAACATGGAGGAGAGAAACTTGAAGAATAACCAAAATGACCAACGAAAAAAATGATCTCTACTTAACAACAATCACATCCGATACATTTTTGCGATAATCAATGAACCGTCTTGTACAAACGAACAGAGGAACTGGACATCAGGAAAGCAACCAACCATGTATTCAGTGAAAAATAAAAGAACGAAAAGAAGACAAATAAAAAAACTACACCGATAGTCTAAAACATTAGTAGTCATAATACCTTTTACTAAAAAAGGGCCAATAAAAATTATTATTAAAAAAATGATAAAAAAATAACTAAAAATGACATAATAATGGTCGAAAAACACCACCACCGCTAGGGCTGACAATTATCCACGGGTGAGTGGATTATCCATCCACCCGCCCCGAATAAATGGATTAAAACCCGCGGTGAAACGGATGATTGGCGGGTGATGGATGGATCGGGTGATGGGTCGGGTCGGATATGGATGAAATTTTTTTGACCCATCACCCGCATCATCCATCCACCCATTAATATATCCATCCATCCATCTATATATATATATTATCCCATTGAAAATATGTTTGTTTTTAATATTGGTTTATCCCTATTGATACTAAAATGTTATATTATAATTTTAGTTTTTTTAAAATTACATTATTAAAAATATTTTAAAAATGCATTATTAATAATTATAAAATTTTAAAAATATATTAAAAATTCTATAATACAAGTATACAACTACCCTCAAATTTTAATTTTAGCATTTAATATCAAGATACTATATTGTACTTACCTCATAAATCGATACCAAATCGATTAATTAATATATTTGTAATGAACCCTAACCCTAAAACCTAAACCATAAATCCTAAACCTAAACCCTAAACTCTAAACTCTAAATCCAATACCCTAAACTATAAAACCTAAACCCTAAACCTAAAACCATAAACCCCAAAACATAAATCCGATTATATGACATGAGTTAATTTGATAAATTAATGAAATTAATTTAAAAAAAAATTAATAACTAATTTTTTAAATTGTTGTTACCCTAAACCCTAAACCCAATTACACATATGCAAACAATTATTTCCAACTGAATGATTCATGGTGAAATCGATTATGTTCAGTCTACACTTGCTTCGGCTAGTTGAAAATGCGTATGATTCAACTCTAACATTAAAGAACACGAGCTAAGAAAATAAAAAAGAGTATTGATAAATACCATTTCAAGTCGAAGGACTCAATAGAGGCAGATCCATGTATACGGCCAGGTGATTCAGTTTGCAATGAGGTGAGTTCGAGCTCAAAATCGAGCTTCAATCGAGTTTCAATTGAGCTCTTGATTTTTTTGAGTTCGAGCCTTTTCGAGTTTGAGTCGAGTTTTAATATTATCTTTCGAGTTGATCTCGAAAATTTTAGGCTCGTGAGTTTTCGAGTCGAGTCGAGCTTACATTTAAAGTTTTTCGTTTACACCCCTAATAGTATCATCCGCTCCACCCGCTCCACCCGCGGATGATGGATGGAGCGGATATGGATGAAAATTTTGGCGGGTGATGGATGGTGTGGATGGAGCAGATGAAGCTCCACCCGACCTATCTCCAATCCATTGCCAGCCCTAACCACCGCTGCCATGAAACAAAGAAATTTAAAAAACTACTAGGTTGAATATGCAAGATATTGATGGAATAAAAAAAAGAGTTTAAACCTAATACAATAGTGCTTGAATATTTATTATTTAATAATTAAAAATCTTTTAATCAAATATTATATAATAATATCTATAGATTAATAAAAACAGATATTTAAATCATCAACCATATATAAATAAACTCACACGTGCAAGTAAGAACGTAAAAAAAATAAGGTACTGAAAAGGAAAATCCAAGTTGGGGTACCGCACGTGTAATATCTCCATTTTGAATTCGTGCGTTGCCTTCCCTTGTCCGTGAAGTATTTTCCATTTATACTTGAGCCAGCCCCTCCACTTTATTACTCATTTTCCCACCTCTACCCTTTCATTTTATTTTTCTACTGGTTCTCCTCCTCCTCCTCTATAAGTTGCAAGTTTAACAGTATCAAGCAAAGAAGCTCTGTATTGACCAAAAGAAAATCTTCATTAATGGACGAATGGATCAGGCTCCAGACGTCCGCAGCTGATATCTGGCCGTCCATCCTCCTCTTTTGTCTTCACTTGCACTGGTAATCCATCTCCATTTCCATTATTTTTATTCTTTTTATTGATTTGTATTTCTCTTTAGATTAGCTTTTGTTTTCTTCCATTTTTTATTTACTGTAGATCATGTTTTGGTTAACGAGTTCAGAACCAGATTGTTGTGATCGCGCTTTTTTTTCCCTGTGTTTCGAGTTTCTTTTTTTTTAGTCGTGTTTGGTTCGAGAGAAAATATTTTAATGAAAAAGAAAAAGACACGAGTTTTCTTTCTCGAGAAAGATAGGTTCCATTGAATCCAGTCCGTATCACTAATTTAGTGGCGTGATCACTGATTAGCTATGTCATCTTTTAGAAATACTATTAAGAACAAATTCTCTTCGAAAGGCTAAATGTTGAACCGCTGCCTGGCTTTTATATTTTTGTGTATAAAGATGGAGAAGCGACAAAGAGGAATATTTATAGGACAAAGCACTTCAAAATGTTTTAATGGAATCTTATGCTAATGAATTTGTAGGAAAATATAAATCTTCTCATGGAATCTTATCGTTTCATTGTTTTTTTCTCTCTCTGACTCTCTCTCTATTGATTTGGTGCAATATTCTGTCAAATTTGACTGCATAAATATGGTCAAACATCTTAATAAGATATGAAAATCTGTCAAGATATAACCGATCCATGAAGTTTCGCATTTTAGTTCATTTATGACTTCTTCTTCTTGATTTTTTTTGTCAGATTCGGCGCTGTTGTTTTCAGTTTTTCACATAATGTATTCTTGCTATTGTATTGACTCACCGTGGCCACCTGAAGAATTGCTTGTTAAATATCAGTACATATCAGATGTTCTAATCGCCCTTGCATATTTCTCAATTCCCCTCGAGCTTATTTATTTTGTTAAAAAATCTGCATTCTTCCCGTATCGATGGGTGCTTATGCAATTCGGTGCCTTTATCATTCTTTGCGGCGCAACACACTTTATAAACCTTTGGACATTCACTATGCATTCGAAAGTCGTCGCTATGGTGATGACCATTGCCAAGGTCGCATGTGCTGTTGTATCGTGTGCGACTGCTTTGATGCTTGTGCACATTATTCCCGACCTGTTGAGTGTTAAAACTCGAGAATTATTTCTGAGGAACAAAGCCGAAGAGCTTGACAGAGAAATGGGTCTTATTCTCACTCAAGAAGAAACTGGACGGCATGTGAGGATGTTAACTCATGAAATTAGAAGCACACTCGACAGGCACACGATATTGAAGACTACCCTTGTTGAGTTGGGTAGGACCTTGGGCCTGGAGGAATGTGCCCTGTGGATGCCATCAAGGACTGGTATAAATCTGCAACTTTCACATACTCTAAATCACCAAATACAAGTTGGATCTACTGTGCCGATAAATGATCCTATTGTCAACGAAGTATTCAATAATGCTCAAGCAGTGCGTATACCCTATACTTGCCCACTAGCCAAGATAAGGCCTCTAGTCGGAAGATATGTGCCACCAGAGGTTGTTGCTGTTAGGGTACCCCTTCTTCATCTTTCAAATTTCCAAATTAATGACTGGCCTAAGCTCTCTGCGAAAAGCTATGCAATCATGGTTCTTATTCTCCCCACGGACAGTGCTAGAAAATGGCGAGACCATGAATTGGAACTTGTCGAAGTTGTGGCAGACCAGGTCATCTTTATGATTTATGTGCTTTCTTTAATTGGCTGCTTATTTGATGTCTTAATGAAACGCTCACCCTCAGTTTTAATTTTTCACTTGGCTGTAAGTTTATGAATTCATTTTTGAAAAGCTTCAGTGACTGAACTTGATGTTCTTGCTCCTTATTTTAGTTGGAAAACGCATTTACCTATTAAGAGACTTTGATTCTTATAATGATGATATATGTACAGGTTGCCGTTGCACTTTCGCATGCCGCTATTCTGGAGGAATCCATGCGAGCACGTGATCAGCTTATGGAGCAAAATGTTGCCTTAGACTTGGCTCGTCGAGAGGCCGAGAAGGCAATTCATGCACGAAACGATTTCCTAGCTGTGATGAACCATGAGATGCGCACACCAATGCATGCAATCATTGCATTGTGCTCGCTTCTTTTAGAGACTGAGCTAACTCCAGAACAAAGAGTTATGATAGAGACGGTGCTGAAGAGTAGCAGCCTTTTGGCAACACTAATCAATGATGTCCTCGATCTTTCGAGGCTTGAAGATGGCAGCCTAGAATTAGACTTTGGAATGTTTAATCTTCATGGAATCTTCAAAGAGGTAACCATTGGTGTTTTTGTTCATTTTTAGCATAGAAATTGCAATAAATTTGCTTTTGCAGTTTATTTTTAGTAATAATGTTTATATCTTTATAATTTCAGGCCATTAATCTGATCAAGCCCATTGCATCCATAAAGAAGCTATCTATGACTATGATCCTGGCACCTGATTTGCCAATGTATGCTGTTGGCGATGAGAAACGGCTTATGCAAACCATTTTGAACATCATGGGGAATGCTGTGAAGTTCACAAAGGAGGGTTATGTTTCAGTTATAGCGTCGGTTGCAAAACCGGAGTCGTTAAGGGACTGGCGACCTCCAGAATTTTACCCAGTGTCAAGTCAAGGCCACTTCTACTTACGAGTGCAGGTTCTTGACTGCTTCAGTTAAACTTCATTTCATTTTGTTTTGCGTCTGTTCTATTTAACTTTGATTGCACCATCATAAAAACATCTCCCGGTAATTCCATTTACGCCGTTTAGGATTTCCGAGTGCAGTTTTGTTTATGATGTACAATCCGACGGATAGCCATCCATGTACTGTTGTTATGGAGAACATCTGGAGCTTTTCTAGCTTAATATCACATGATGCTAATGCCTATATCCTATCATCTAATCTGTGGCAGGTTAAGGACTCTGGTTGTGGTGTTCTGCCACAAGACGTACCACTTCTTTTTACCAAATTTGCACAGCCGCGTAGTGGATCCAGTCAAAATAGTGGTGGAAGTGCTGGACTTGGACTTGCCCTTTGTAGAAGGTAAATAAAAAATCTCTGAAAATCCTCCACACATGAAATATTTGGTCTTTACCCTTATAATCGGACAAACCACAGTAGCTAACAAAAAAAATGCTTATACCATGGTTGTCAAAAATGGGACTTGTGACTGCCTGATTAAACTGGTAGGATGAGGTAAAAAATTATACGAACCATTAAAATTTAGTGTAAAGAATGCAAATGGTCCCGACTATAGAATATTGTTTTATTAAGTCTCTCAACTATTAAAAGTTACAAAATAGTCATTTGACTACGAAGTGTTGCTTTGTCTAGTCACTTGATTACTAAAAGTTATAAAATGATTACCCGACTATTCATTATGTTCTAAACTCTGGACGATATTTTGAATTGAACGTTAACTTGTTGACTGTTATATGATAAAATTTGATCCTAAAATCTCAAACCACTATCATATCTCAGTCATCATGTTAACATTCAATTTAAACAACCACCAATTTTTAACAAAAAAGATGAGTCTAGAAAATAATGAATAGTCAGTTGACTATTTTGTAACTTTTAATAGTCGAGGGGCTCAACAAAGTAACACTTCATAGTCAAAGGATATTTTGTAACTTTTAATACTGAAAGAGTTCAACAAAGTAATACTTTATAGTCAAAGGATATTTTGTAACTTTTAATAGTCAATAAACTTAATAAAGTAGTACTCTATAGTCGAGAGATCATTTGCGTTCTTTATCCTAAAATTTATTATCGAATCGATGGTTCAACTGGCCGAATTGGTTGAATAAAGAAATAGCGATTCGATCAACAATCCGCGGATTTATACCTCATACATGTTATTAAATGTTGAATCACAGGTTTGTGAATCTGATGGGAGGCCACATATGGATGGAGAGTGAAGGCCTTAACAAAGGTAGCGTAGCGACATTCCTTGTCAAACTCGGGATCTGTAATAACCCGAATGATTCATCTATCCATCATCAAGTTTCTCCCCAAGCTAGAGCTTATCATGGAAGTGCAGATCTGGCCGGACAGAAACCTACCTTAAGAGACGACGACAGGGGCGGCGTTTCATCTAACGCGCGATACCAAAGAAGTCTGTAGATGATCGAGGGGCCTAAAGTTGCAACGGGCAAATGTTGTAATTTCCCGTCCTCTTCTTATTGATCGACGTTAAAGTTGAGAAATGCTGTTTAAATTAATGAAATAATTTCCCCTGATAAAAGCTGCTATAAGCTATTAAGCTAGCCGGATAACAAGATGAGATTTGGAGTTTGGTCAGAAACACAATGAAGATATGGTTCGAAGGCTTGCACCACAGGTCACTTGAATATTTTGCAGATTTTTACTAGTGATTTTGACAAACTTAAAACTAAAAACAAGTTCTTAAACTATGTTTTTTAGATTTATATATCTAAATTAATTTTGAGTAAAAACAAATCTATAAATTATTAATTGTGACCGTTGCAAGTCCTATCATTTTTTCCAAACAGAATTTTCTTATAACCCATGAGATCTTAACAAAATAAGTTTTTTATGTACTAAAAGGGTTACATATAATGGTAGTTTAGGGACTTGTATTGGAAAAGAACTAGTTTAGAGAATTAAAAATTCGAGGACTTAATTTAGTTTGCCTTTGAAAATCAACAAAACCACGGATGTAAATCAAACATAACGTTACATCATATAATTAAAACAAAAAACAGTAAAATTGAGAACAAAAACATTAAAGCTTACTCCACCTAAAAGAACAAAGTGCATATCCGCCTAAAACAACACTGGCACGGCAAAACTACTTGGGGCATACTAATATCTAAAGCCACGGTCGATCACTTATATTGAGTACAGAACCTTCTTACTTCTTGGACTTCTTGGAAACCCTGAAAGATTACATAAAGAATAAAAAGAAAATTGTATTTACCTAAAAACACTGATACTTTAGCAAAAGAAACGCAAAATCTAATATACACTTACACGGCTGGTTGAGCAGCTGCCGCAGGTGGTGCTGCAACCGGCTTATCTCCTCCTCCAGGTCCCTAAAAAGATTAAGGGGGGGGGGATATAACATAAGAACCCAAGTCGAAACTTCAGAAGGAAAATAAATATTGCGTATCTATTCCATATAAAGCATCCCATTATATTATCGTTGCATACCCAAAGAACCACATGAAACAAATGTTCTTACCTGGGCCAAACGCTCCTCTCTCCTAGCAAATTTTCTTTCCCTGCTTGCCTTGTTCTTAGCCCTCTTTGCTTCAAACTGGTCAGCCAATGTCTTCTCTCTGGCCTTTTCAGCCTTAGATTTGTGGATGCTCTCCATGAGAACTCTCTTGTTCTTGAACACATTACCCTTGACTTTCATATACATGTCATGGTACATGTGCTTGTCAATCTTCTTTGATTCCCTGTATTTGCGAAGCAATCGTCTCAGAACACGCATCCTCCTCATCCACAAGATCTTTGTGGGCAACCTTGCCTCCCTTGTACCCTTGCGCTTGCCTAAAAGCAGAATGAAAACACAAAAACCCAGCTAATATATATATGCATAAATTACTCAATATGAATCAGAGTCTTTGATGGCTAACAAATGATTACTCCAGTATTAAGTATCTCCACATTACTTCATTTCATCTTTAATAAAATGATTTTGGACATCAGAACTTTGAAAACATGACGCTTAATCAAGATTCAAGAATATAATCCGATACAGAATCTGTAAGCATATCAACCTACTCCCCATCGACAAATAACATTAAATCCAGGAAATCTAAGAACCATAGTGTACAAAGAAAAACATACCATATCCAGAGTGACGTCCCTTTCTCTTTGCTTCCTTCATGCGACGTGCACGTGATCGAGAGTGAATTTTGGTTGGCTTCCTGATGATAAAACCATCTTTAACCAGCTTCCTTATATTCTGGCCTGCAATTCCCATTTCAAATATGCACATGATCAAAACTGAACATTAAAAGAACAAATTCTTGTGCTAAGCTACAAACAGACTAACAAGTCCATAGAATATCCGATTCTATTATGACTACGACATAACATCAGCATGAGACACTATTAATTGTTCAGAACTTCAGATTTTACAGCCAATAAAATGTGAAAGATTTTCTTCGTATATCAGTGGAGCAAGCAAGGAAAAAACAATTAAAATCATATAGCTACATTTGCACTCTATTACTAATGTGAAGATTTGACTTTTTCCGGCAGGAAATCTCAGGTCAATTGATGTAGCTTTGGCATTACGTATTAGTTGGAAATATTTTCATTTTTCTTAACAAGTAACTAAACAAAAAATAGAATAATCAGAAGCTGAATTGCAAATATGCTAAAGCTCATCTCAACTGAGCAAAGTATATAACACTCTACCGTCCTAAATCAGTAAAAGGAAAAGAAAAGCTTAAAAGTGAAATATATAAGCTATCACAGTTCAAAGATTCAATTCCTAAAAAAATAAAAACACCTAGCTTCATTTCCACGAACAATTGGCAACAAACGATGCGATGATCAAGTTCAAATCATATCTCAACTTAAAAACGATGGACATGAAAACTATAAATGTTAAGTCAATGATTAAGAAGTGAAAAAAAGGAGGAAAATGAAAAGAGAAAACGTACGAGAGTTCGCCATGGAGATCTCGTTAACTTCATTCGGATCAAGCCAAACCTTTCCTTTTCCACACTTCAAAACGCTCGCTGAGAGCCGCTTCTGGAGCTTAAGCGAAACCATATCTCTCCTCTTCTCTCTCTCTCTCTCCCCCCTTGTCGGTGATGCAGCTAACTGCTGTTAGCGAAGAAGGATAAGAGGGAAGTGATAGCGGCTTATTTATATGAAAGCCTTAACCCTAGGGTTTGGAGGGTGCTGCTTGCTTTTGATTTTGGATTGGGTTTATAAAATTTGGCTGTTGATTTACTACGCGTGTCCTTTTAGTTATATGTTCGGCCAATAGCCTAAATGGCTTTTCTTCATGGCCCTTATAAACAAGGGTAGGATTAAGATTACCCGTCCCAATTTTTTTTTGATGTAATTATTAATATTTGATTTATTAATCGATTAATTTATATTAAATATTATAAAAAATATTATAAGAGTGATTCTTTTCATTTAATTTACTCTATTTATAACATTGAAATTTGAACTCCGACTTTACTTAAAATATCTAAAGTTTGAGGTGTCTTAAATATTAATAACCAAAAATTTAATTCATTTGTATAATTTTATAATAGGTTTAATCTACCAATTGAGAGAGGTATTATAGTAATTATTTCTAGGGTAAATTATGTGTTTAGTATCTAAATTATAAGTTTTGGTTCATTTTAGTACCTAAACTTTCAATTTTTTTCAAAATCGTACATAAACTTTAGTTTTTATTTCATTTGAGTACATCATCGTTAAAAAAATTAGTTTTGTTTCATTTTAGTATCACATTCAAAATTGAAACCAAAACTGATAGTTTAGGTACTAAACACGTTAAGTTTTTAACAGTGAGGTACTAAAATGAAATAAAAATTAAACCTTATTTTCAAATATATAAAGAAAAATCATATTATTACTTAAGATCATGTCAAATCGAATATTTTTCATCCTAAACTCGACCCGAAACTATAAAATTTGATTGTATTGTAGAATTTGAATCAAATTATCATCCTAATTCTAATTGATCAGACAAATAAATATATCAAATAAAATTAAATGCTCAAATACCATATATAATTATTGGAGAAAGACTCAAATTCAAATGCTATCTCTATGTATACAATTCTCTAGCTTTTGTCATGTAAAATATAAATGCAATACAAGTTAGTGGTGCTCAAGCCTGCAGATATGATATATGTTTCACCATCGTGCAACCAAACCAAGTCGTAGTAAACCCAAATTCTTTTATTTCTTAATTATGGGCGCATTACAACAGACATTCCAATATATAAAGGACGATGAAGGTAATCCCTCACACTTCATCCCATCATCTTTCTTCTCTTTGTGCTGGGTAGTTAACAGTTGGGAAACCATGGCTGCTGCCTGTCCATTGTTGGCTGCCTCCTTGCTTTTATGTTCATTGCTCGTCATTGCTTCTGCAAATGACTATGGTGTTTATGTTTCATCCAAAACACAAGCTTATGATTATGGTACTGCAAAGCCGGTCAACCAACAACAGCTAGAAAAGGAGGGGAACCCTGGTTATGGAAGTAAGCCTAATGTCTATGAATCGCAGCCAGAAGAGAAGGGAAAGCCATTGCTGGAAGCAACAGCAAGTATCGGTTACAGCACAGAATCAGTTTACCAACCACAGACGGAGAAGCCGGTGACGGGAATGGAAGAACAACCTGATTATAGCACTAAGCCAAACAAACCACAGCCAGAAGAGACAGGAAAGTCTAGTTATAGCACAAAACCAGCCTATCAGCTACAACCAGAGAAGCCAGAGTCAAAACAAGAAGAAAAGCCTGATTATGGCACCAAGCCATATTACTATAAACCACAGCCAGGTCAAGAGAAAGAAAAGCCAATGCCAGAAGAGACAGAAAAGTCTGGTTATAGCACAAAACCAGTCTATCAACCACAACAAGGAAAGCCAGAGTCAAAGCAGGAAGAAAAGCCTGATTATGGAACAAAGCCAAATTACTATAAACCACAGCCAGAAGACAAGGAAAAACCAATGCCTGAAGAGACAGAAAAGCCAGGTTATAGCACAAAACCAGCCTATCAACCACAACCAGAAAAGCCAGAGTCAAAGCAGGAAGAAAAGCCTGATTATGGCACCAAGCCATATTACTACAAACCACAGCCAGGTCAAGAGAAAGAGAAGCCAATGCCAGAAGAGACAGAAAAGCCTGGTTATAGCACAAAACCAGTCTATCAACCACAACAAGGAAAGCCAGAGTCAAAGAAGGAAGAAAAGCCTGATTATGGAACAAAGCCAAATTACTATAAACCACGGCCAGAAGACATGGAAAAACCAATGCCAGAAGAGACCGAAAAGCCTAGCTACAGCACGAAACCAATCTACCAACCACAAACAGAAAATGAAGAAAAGCCTGATCACGGCGCTAAAAATGACTTCTACCAGCAGCAACCAGAAGACAAAGAAAACCCAAAGTTAGAAAATGAAGAACACCCTAATTACAACGCAAACCCAGCCACGGATTCCTACAAACCAAAACCTGAAGTTCTTCCCATTGGTGTTGAAGGGCTTGTTTTATGTAAATCAGGTCCCAAGTATTACCCAATTCGAGGTAAACTATTTGACACAAACACACACAATTTAAGCATTCGTATTTATGTTTAAAACTCTCCCTAATTCAGCTCGTTTCTTGGGCTGATATTTGTTGCAATGAGCACAGGAGCTTTGACAAGGATAACGTGTTTAACTGTTGACGAAAATGGGTACGAGAAGACTCACTCGGTTTGCAGCGGTGAAACTGATGAAAAGGGTTACTTCTTAGCGAGATTGTTTTCTTCAGGCCTTGACGAGGCCCATCTGTTGAGCGAGCTCAGAGATTGTAAGGCGTTCCTTGAAAGCTCTCCGTTGGAGACCTGCAACGTTCCCGTTGATGTCAACAAAGGCATTAGTGGCGCTCCGCTTTCTGGGTTCCGAGTTCTCCATCACATGGGGATGAAGCTTTTCTCCGTCGGATCTTTCTTCTTCACCCCTCAACTTACTCCGGTTCCTAATGGTTATTAAACACCTTAATTCTTTTGTTTTTATTATAATTTATTCATTTGCCGTATGTTCTGAACCGTTTGCTTTCGAAGAAGCGAGTGTTGTTGACTTCTATTTGACTGATTTGTTCTTTGTAATGCGTATAGAGCTTGATTCGCTCTGTTAATGATTATACTGCATTTGCTTTTTATAGTATTAACTGTATCCGTTTAAAGATAATTTTTAATTATTTAATATTAATTGCTTCATATTTATAATATTTTTAGTCCTTAAATCGAATGATCCCAATAATTAAATAATGTTTGTTATCCTTAAAGATATCATGTTCGAGAAACAACAATTGTAAGATATTTAAATGTTCATTATCAAATAATTAAGAATCTTCAGAACATATACTTCCACTTGTAGTTAACTTAAATTAATAAAAAAATTATTAATTTTTCATCAATTGATTTATTTTTTTAAAAATTAAACGAAACGAAAATAAAAAAATGAATAATTCTTTTGAAAATGTTTGAAGACTAGAGATATTAATGAATCTTATTTTACCTCATTAATGGTTGATGAGTGATTGTAACTCTTAAAGGTCACAAATCGTAGCACTAATGGTTGTAGTAGGATGATTGAACATTCATTATCAAATGTTTGTAGTAGGATGATGAAATTTATATGTTGATTTTATATTAAAAAAATTAAATAATAATTTTAATAAATTTTAATATTTTTAATTTAAATTAATGATTAAGTGTAAGACTCTTAAAGGTAGGGGTTTTGGGTTCAAATCCACTCTTCTTATTAGTTTGAATAAAATATTCAAAAGATAACACATGAAAGAAAAAAAATCAAAGTAAAATAATAATTTAATGATTGATACAATCTTTTAAAAGTTTTAAAATAAATCCATAATTTAAAGATTAATATAAGATATTTTTAAAATTAAAATTAATTTAAAATAAAATAATTTGAATATATCCCATAAAATTATCTCAAAATAAAATTTAAAGAAGAAGCCACAATTTACCTAAGGTGAAAGTGGAATTTAAATACTCACACACTTAAAAGGCTTGGGTTTTTGCCTAACTCTACCGATTTCTCATTGGTAAATATTTTATTTTATACGTGTGTATGTAAACATTAGTAGTGGTGATCAAGTCTGTAGATGTTTATGCCATCGTGCAACTAAATCATCGTAAAGACTGTTTCCTTCTTTGCTTAACCATTGGGGCATTACATAATACATCACACCGGTAAGCTTCCCAGGCATTATCCAATTCAAGGTAAACTACTAAGCACAAAACGGTATTTTAAGCATTCAGATTAATGTCGTGTTTTTGCTCAACTTTGTTGATATGAACACAGGAGTTTTGGCGAGGATAACATGTCTAGCTGTTGGCGGGAACGGATTCGAGACGACTCGCTCGGTTTGCAGCGGAGAAACTGATGCGAAGGGTTACTTCTTTGCAAGATTATCTCCTTCAGGCCTTGATAAATTGAGCAAGCTAACGGATTGCAAGGCGTTCCTTGAAAGCTCTCCATTGGAGGACTGTAATGTCCTTGTGGATGTCGATAAAGGCATTAGCGGTGCTCCTCTTTCGGATTTCCGTTTTCTTCACCAGATGGGGATGAAGCTTTTCTCTGTAGGACCTTCCTTCTTCAACTCTGCACCTAATTGGATCCCTAATGGTTACTAAACAAACGGCTTAATTCTTTTATCACTTGTGATATGCAATTGATGATATTAAAGTGATACTAATTATACTCGATGTCGGTCTTTTAACAGCATATCTTTCTAATTTCGCATTATAGTGAATTTCTCTCTTCGGTCTTCGTTTTTTTTTCTCATTTAGAGTTTCCACGTAAATTTTGTTCTCGTCTTCGATCTTATTTATTTTATTCGTAGTTATCTTTTTTATTATCAGAACTTTTATATGAAATGCTTAAAAAAACTTGTATAAAGTGTTCACCTATGATCCTTTTTCAAACCGAGTATCTTTACAAGTGTATATCAACTCTACACTCACTTTTTTCTTTGACACACAGTGCCTGCCTTGATCCAGCGTCAGCTTGCTTGACTTCTGGTTTATTTGGTTTTGAGCGTCTAACAAATACATATGGATTATGGACAAAGGAAGTAAATTTTACTATAAGAAAGAACGGTAGGTCTTAGCTCTATGTTGGACAAAACTTCATAACCAAGCTTGCAACCGGCTGAGTCGACTAGATGGTTTTATCGGATCCATCATTTGAATTAGCATTCGAGGATTTGGTTATTTTCTGTCGAGCTTGGCCAGCTGCAACCAATGGACCATCCTAGAACACCCGGGATTGAATCGACCCTTGAACAAGCATTAACCTGAGAAACAAATAAGTGGTTTGATAATCACGACATTCGAAACTCCCCCTCATACATGAACACATAGAAACGGATGAAAATCGAAGATGAAAAGGTAAAAGGAATACAGCGAAACAAAATGAAAGTACATGTGAACACAGTACCAAAATTTCAAGGTTGGCTTCAAGATGAAATAACATGGCGGCCATTCCCCTTCCTCTATCCATCTCGGCCTAAAAAATGTAGAACTGTTATTGAACTAGCAAAGTTTTGACAGCCGGAATCAAATCACGTGATAGCCGAATTTATATCACTCACAACACAGGAATATATGGTGATGCCTACAGACGCCAATGCCGCTGTGACCTCAGCCATCATCCCTAAAATCATGTTTGCAATGAAACACTTTAGCCAAAAGGAAAAGAGATGATATAACCAAAAAGTCCGCAAAAAAATGTTGGACTAAATCTAATTGCTCAGATTAGGATCTCCCCAACAATGTTCTAAGACTTTACTAATGCCCTATTGGAATAGCTTGGTAGGATGATCCATACTTTGACAGTCAGCACAATAAGGTGGCAAGTCACCAGGGTACTCTAATTCAATAATCTCATAGAATCCCTCCTCCCAAATTTCCCCAGAAAACCCGGAAATGCTTACTTTTTCCATTCCAATAGTTTGGATTTGTATACCACATATAATAAAAACCTTATATGAAAGGGTTAACAAAGATTTACCTCTTCGGTCTATGCAAACCACAGAAAACCACAGAATTGAATGTCCTTCAAGATTGTGCCACAAGTCAATTTTACTGGCTTTCCAATTTTCAAGACCAGGCAATACCTCGGGTGGTGGAATGTTTGCAGGTATCATTTTCACAGAACCATTGGCCCGTGATAACATGTTCCCATTGGCCTTCAAACTCACAGGTTGAAAATGTTTGTTAAGTTTCCCATTGACCTTAGGGTTCCAAAAAACTTTTTTTGCAGTCAAGCCATCTTCACAACTTTCTTGGGATGAAGAGTCCACAATGCTCCCCAGGATTTTCTCCCATAGAGGTTTCCTCTGTCTGGAAAACTCTTCCGATTCACTCTCCTCTTCAGAGTCAGCAATGAAGCTATTTACTCTCTCTGTTGTTAATTCCACAGCAGATAGTGCAGCTTTCTCCCTCATGAACTAATTACAAGTAGAAATTTAGACAATCAGAGCATTGAAAACTAAGAGAATTAAGAGATTATAAATCATACTCCATAAATTAAACCTACTTTCATAATTTTGTGCTTGGCACTGCGCGTTTTAGCATGTTGCAACCACTGTTTATGCCTTTGAAAAGCTGATTTGCTTGAGAGAGCCTGGAGCGAGAGGAAAGGTTGTAACTATTAAAAAAAAGGGGCACCAGTTTGAGCACAAATAGCCTATAATATATGGAACCAGATAAACCTTTGTAAGTACTTTAACCAGTAACCTGTGTGTCTTCCTTTCTTTCACAACTGACAAAATAGTAAATACGTGTAAATCTCTTCAATAACAGATCAAATCACCTAAATCATGCAACAGTACTCAGAATTTGACAGTACTCGCTGATAGTTTCAACTTTCAAGTTATTGAGGGAAAAAGAACTAGTACTACACATTTTTCCCATGCATAGCATATGTCTGATTCCCACAATCTAAACATTATCAAGAAATCATGATTGACTACAAGTAACGGAGAAGTAATTGCCAACGATCAATATATACTAACGTTATATGTGATAATCTCCACAACTTCGGCATTGGTGAGTACATGCGTTGGAGAAACAAGATTACCATTGACCTGCAATGAGAAGATCAAGCATTAAACTTGGGCTTTCGTTTACGCTGACACTGCAGTTGGAAAAATTGTGCCATTAGATACAAAATACCTTTGCAGCTACCATTTTGTTTCCAAGCTCAGTGTGTATCATGTAGGCATAGTCAATGACAGTAGCCCCTCTAGGCAGATTTTTAATCTATTTATCACGTAAATTATATCAAAACACTTGTCATCATAGACTTCTGTTAAATCTTCTAGCAGAAAAACACATAGATAACTTTTAGTATGTGAATTACCTCTCCCCTAGGGGTAAATACAAAGACACGACTACCTAAGAGATCTCTGGTGATGGTATCCACAAATTCCCTGGAACTCATGTTGCCAACAAACTCTTCTTGCCATTCTCTAATTGCATTGAGCCACCCAACCTAGAGAAAAGAAAGGACTTCATCCGTAAATTTACATTCTTCTTAGATGACTTTAGAGGGTATCTAGGAACCTCCTTCAGGATGACTCTTAATGACAATTACTCAAGGAAACAAGCTATACCATGAGTGCTATGTTTGCATTGTTAAGGCAAACTGCCTTCCCTCTTGAACTTCTACCATTTGGCTCTGCATGCCCAACTAGACCAGTAACAAAGACTCTCCCACTATAATTAGCAGCAATGCCTCTCTCAGCTATCAAATCCATCTCTTCAGTTCTAATCTGTAAGAAACCAACAATTAATAAAATATGCCAGAATTATTTTCTTTTCCTTTTTCATTTTTTAAAGTTCAGACTATATTATAATGAGCATCACTTGTACATTCATCCCTGGTACATTACTAACATAAATAAATCAATAATTATAACTTCTGTAATAATGAGAAGATTCAAAATTGTTTGGGAACAAGTTGTAGATATCCTCGCATTTAAAAAATATTTAAAATAATTTAACTAAGCAAAATGTTGCCTTGACAATTAGCTGAGAGGAAATTTAAGAACCTGAACTTCCAGGCGAAACGTGCTTTCATACAAAAACGGGATTACTGTTGTATGAAGACTTTGGTAGCCATTAGGCTTTGGTGTTGCTATGTAGTCTTTCATCTGCTCAAAAGATAGGCAACTTTTACTAAATGCCAATAATCTAATATAAAAAAGACACGTCAAATGAGGAGAAAAAAAATATACATACAGCTCGAGGAACAGGAGTCCAGATGCTATGGACTAATCCAAGAACATAGTAGCAAATCTGCAAAAAGAAATTGGAATTGTTACTCAAGTACAGATGCATTCTATCCTAACCAAGTAATTTTGCATTGGCAGAATAATTCACCTGCTGTGGACTACAAAAAGGCCCAACTCCAACTGAAGGCTTTGGTTTTATGATTATACGAAGCTGATTTATAGCCAAAAGGAATGGGCGAATCAATTAGCAAGAATAAACCATGAGAAAATGTTTCATACTACATGTTAATTGTTCAAGGAAGCATCAGAACAAACCTGGGCAATTTGGTTAACCTCACTGATTGAACTGTTGGATTTCAGCACAGATTTGTAAATACTGTGATACCATAACAAAAATTACAAGCAAGCAAATTATCACTCAAAAGCCACCAAAAAAAGAGGTAAAAAAGGTAACAGGGAACGGAAAATTAACTGACGGTATTCAAAGCAACACCATATTCGATATAGACATTCAAAATGATATCTTACATCTCACTCACTCAATCTATCTTTTAGAAACAGGTGAAGTAAGAAATAATGGGTCCCAGATTCCCATTCCCACAAAACTTAGAACCATGTGGTAGGCAATTCTATACCAAATTACTCGCACATAGTCCCCACTGGTTCAGTTGTGACCATGACCACGAAATGCAACTAGAAATAATTCCCAAAACTTCTAGTCATGTGTATCACAAGGAAAAGAACTGAATGAATAATGAACAAGGAGACAGATTAAATATTCAAGGCCCCACCTGTAAGGTTCCTTGCACACTGCAAGGGTTTCAGTTTTAAGAGTCATAAAGTCCAGGAATTGGTCATTCTCAATCCTTTTCGTCAAAATTTTGTCTGCCTAATACCAAAAAAGAGAAGAAAAAAAATCATAACGATGCAGATGACATACTAGTCATAAAATACACTTTCAACATTGACCTGCTATGTTAATTATCACATAGATAGTATTTTGGAGCTCTAACTTAATACTATTGATTAAAGGAGGGCAATGTTTACCTCGATAAGATCTTTCTCATGTTCATTATACAGGTCAGCAACCCTTCTCTTCACTTTGGCATAATCTTCAGGATTTGTGTACATGAAGGATAAGTTTTCAAGTTCAGACTACAAAAAACAATAAGATTGTGTTAAGTCTGAATGCTATCTTGAATTGATGAGCATAAAATGGAAATTGTATTTTCAACAAGCATAAGAATGTACCTTAATTTGATGCACCCCCAACAATTTTGCCAAAGGAGCAAAGACCTGCAATGTCTCCATTGCAATGCTGGACTGAAATAATACAATAATGTTAAAAGGAAGAAGTAATTGACCAATTACAAGGTAAGCTTCAACCCATGCAACCAACCTGTTTATGCGGGGGCATGTGAGAAAGAGTCCGCATGTTATGCAATCTGTCAGCTAATTTGACAATGATGACACGAACCTAGAAGCAAACCATTTGATTAGGCACATTACTTTCCATAAATATCACCCCAAAACAAAGAAAGAAAGAAAGAAAGAAATAATAACCTCCTCTGTCATTGATAGAAACATCTGCCGGAGATCATCAGCTTTCACATCTTTTACAGAAACATTTTCATTCTTATACTTCAATTTTCCCAATTTGGACACCTGGTTAAGAAACAAGGATAAAGAAACCCAAACAAGCCAAAACCATCTAAAGTTTTGTCAAATATGGCATTCAAACTTAAACAGACAAGTACAGTAATGACACTTATATAAGCATATATAAATCACCTTAGTCTCTCCTTCTACAATACGACGTACGGTAGGACCAAACTCCTCCTCTATTCTTTCAAATGTAACAACATTTGTATCTTCCACAGTGTCATGCAGCAATCCAGCTGCAATAGACTCCCAATCTAGCTCCTAGAATAATAGTTGAGACAAATTAGACCTCATATCAGAAAGCAGAATGCATTTTCCGACAAGAGCATACTTCTTGTATTAACTCACAAGTTCTCCAAGAATGCGCGCAACTTCAACTGGATGAATGATGAACGGCTCCCCACTCCGTCTTTTTTGACCATAATGTGCCTCAAAAGCTAGCTGTACAAAACAACTCATGTCGAGAGATATTTTTCAGAAAGTGCATTGTAATAGTTTTCTGCAAAGCAAAGACATTACCTTGAGAGCATTATGGACCAATTCCAACTCTTTAGGCGAAAGGTATGATATTGTAGGCTTCAGATCCTATTGCATTACAACAGTATAAGTATAAGACAGTTGCAGCTTTGCTTACAAAAAATGTGCATTCTTAAGAATAAGAGGTTTGAAAAAAGTCATTTGTACCTCCCACAACCTTTCAGAAGAAACCTCATTAGAGGTCTCTGAAAAGACGGATGACAAACAATACAACTGCAATCTTTTACAGCCAACATGAAGCAAGCTTGATTTAAAGAGTTTTTCAAGCAATACAAACTCAGAAACATCCGTCGAATGCCATCCACCAGAATCAAGAGCCTAGTAAAACACAAGATTTAATCAGCAAAAAAGCTTTAGCAACTATGCTGTCGATACATGCAAGTTGTACAAAAATGCCTTAAGAAATTGCATGTTTTACGTGCCCAAAATCCCCCACCCCAAAAAATGTTATAACCTTAATATAACAGTACACTCTCCGTTTCCTTAATTGAACGAATTCACCAACAACTTTTGGATGATTCCACACATTAAAGAACCCACCAACTCCCATTCTGATCTCACCGAAACATTTCTATTTGTCGACCTAATATTAACAGCCCCTATTATGTACAAGTTCGGTATCTGACTGGAAAGCCTATTAAAAGAATCAAGGACCTATTTCATATCACAACATCAATAAATGAAACCAACACTTGCACATCAAATAAAGTAAATACAATCTTAAATAGTCTCTGATGCCAAGATATTTCTAAACTAGCTTCGGACTTCTAATAATCTAACAAACCTAAGGTGGAGAAGTATAAATCGAACTAACCGATCTGATACGAGCTCTTCTTCCGTGGCGGGCGTAGGTGAAGGAGGAAGAATGAGAAGGATTGGCAGTGCTGGCAAGGAATCCAGTTAAGGCTCTTGGATCTTTGGAAGCACAAGAAAGCAAGCTACGGTCGAACCTTACACTCCCTTCCCCTCTCGTTAACTTACATATATTCACGCATTCCAAGGAAACTGCAATCAAATGAATCAAAAAATAAATAACTATATAGATGGAAAATAAGATCGGAGCCGAAATAGAGAAACATAGAATTAACTTCTTCACACTCTTTTGGTTGCTTAAAAATTCAAAACTAAGTCGAAATTAAGTGAAAAAACAAGCACCGGACGACAGATATTCCGTCATTTCCCCATCATTCGTTCTTAGTAACCAAACATGAAACAAAGTTAATCGAAAAAAAATAAAAATCAATAAATTGAAATTGAAAAAGAAAAAAGAGTGCTACTCACCGGATAAGGAAGGAGCAGAGGCCATTTGTACAATAGCAGAGAAATCTCATTGAATCGAACTAAGCATTAAACAATAGCTCAGTAATCAATCAAACAAACAAAAAAAGAAACAGAGTCAGCTTTCTGTGGAAGTGGAGCTGATAGAATAAGAAAAATATTATAGATTGGAAATCTGGACAAATAAGCAATGAATTTGAAGCAAAGGATGATGGTGAATAGATAATCCAGAGAGAGAAATGAAGAGACATTGAAGCCACACAAATATTCATTACCTTCAATCACTATAATTTTCATTTGTGTAAATTACATTATTAGTCCCTGAACTTTTAATTGTTTTCATTTTGACGTGTTGATTCAGCTTCCATCAGTGATCAGTGGCCGAAATCGGTGACTAAATTATAAGAATCTTAAAATTTTAGTGATCATCAGTACAGTTTATCCTTATTATTTTTTTATTTCTAAAGAACATGATGAACGCAATATGAATGGCGGAAAATTTAATTTTGTGTTTCTTCAAAATTTTAGTTGGAATTTAATTGATTTTATTTCTCATTGCGGGGACCTTAAAGTCGTCAAAATTCAAATAGATCACACAAATTATTTTAAAAATTTGTCAAGAATAATATACATAATATATTTTTATTAAAAATAGGATATAAGGTACTTAGCTTTTTTTTAATTTTAGTTTTAAATATATATTTATTAGTTATTTTAATATTTTAATTTAAACTATGATTATTTTCTTATTTTTCTTGGTATCGGGACATTTTTATTCATTTAATTATTAAAAAAATTGTTTTGTTTCACCAACTCAACTATTAGTTAATTAAGTAAATTACATGTTTAGTACTAAAACTATAAGTTTCAGTCTATTTTAATATTTAAATTTTTAATTTTTTAAAAATTATATTTAGAATTTAATTTTTGCATTTTAGTTCTCTTGTTAAAAAATTAACGTTAGTTTTTGAAAATTGAAAATTTAGGTACTAAAACTAACTAAAATTGATAGTTTAGATATTAAATACGTTAAATTTTTAACAACATAATACTAAAATAAAAAAAAAATTAATCGTCAGATATGATTTTTAATTTTTAAATACATTACTTAATAGGATAGAGAGAATGAACAACTGTACTAGCTCTGCTTTTCCAGCTGAAAAAGGTATTTTCCAATTTTGGACTGAAATTGTGAATGGAAAGAAGATTAAAAACGAATTAATCAATAAGTAAAATTTCGGATGGTTAATTTTGGATTCGGTTAGTTAACAGTTAATGATTTTCCAAACTTCAGTTATCGGTTAATTCGGTTCGAAATCGATTAATTAACTAAATCAACCGAAATTATTAAATGGTAAATATATTATATATATTATTTAGGTTTAGGGATGTTTAAACTTTGATTTTAACCAAATTAAATGACCGAATTAATTGAATAAACCAAAAATATTTAATATTTAATATAATATATATTATTTATAAATTCCAGTTAACCGATCTTGATTAGGTTCGGTTAAATTTTTTGAAAAAAATTCGGTTCGATTAACATTTAAAGAGAAAAAAATTCCGATCGATAAATTTTAGATTTTTCTATTTGATCGGTTAACCGATTTAACACCCCTAAATTTGTGTCCTTCACCCATTTTTCTCATCCATGTGCCAATGCTAGGGAACCTAAAGAGCCGTGACGGCACCAGATGTTAACCACTGCCACTCATATAATCACCAAACACATTTTCTCCAACATGAGAAAAATGGGGAAGAGATTCGTTGTATTTGGGTTCCTTTGGTACATTGATTCCAGTTTAGATAAAAGGGAATCTCTGTATACGAATAGTTTGTACATCAACGTCTGTCATCTCCTTTCTACTTTCTACAAGAGAACAAAGCTACGGGCTTTGGCATTTTCCATGGCTATGGTGGATATCAGATGCTCCGCTGACACCTGCTTTTCAGTTTTTTCTTCCCCAGAAAATTTAGAATATCCCATTTCCAGCGCACAAACGCAAGCTTTTGCTTGGAAAACGACGCAAACAACAGGCATTTTGATCTTAAAACAAGAAAACCAAGATTTGGGGTTACAAAACATCTGTAACACCCCCAACTCGTATCCGACCCGGATACGAGTCCGAAGTGTCACATTGACTTTTTAAACATGTATTCGTATAAAATAGTGGGTAATTTAAAAACTTTGATAACATTTAATTTATTTCAAAGCGTTTACAACAGATATCAGAGTTCATACCATTTATATCTTTAGACTACATGCCAACTACACTCTGTAAACAATACATACATTTTCTGATCTGACATTTGGTAAGGAAAACTGACCTGTCTTGCTCCGCATTACTCTTTACTCTTCTCGAAACCTACGCGTGAAACAATCACACGCTAAGTCGAAGACTTAGTGAGGCATAACAACTTACAATGCACTTCATAACATATATCAATACATGCATGTTCTGTTCTATCATGTTATACCAATTCCATGCATTCTTCGTATCATATAAAATCATATCAGATTAATTACAGTAAATACATACAGACACATAATTCATCATTAACAGTTTATCATGTAATCACATACTTTTATTGTTAACCTTTTCAATCAAACACTATACACACACAACATCATATGGTTCACGTAACACATTTCAAACCACTTATAACCCCATCGTATACATATCACATTCAGTATGCTTGTTTAATCACTTTATTAGCCCATGTACACTAGTGAGAACTTAAGGTATGTGAGTACATTGAGGTTGTGCACACATATGCTGTCACCACAGCTCGATCAATGTCCCGAAGGACCAGTCCATAGATTCCGAAGAACCTAGGTAATCAGTCCATATGTCCCGAAGGACATAGGTAAACAGTCCGTATGTTCCGAAGAACATAGGTAATCAGTCCATATGTCCCGAAGAACATAGGTAAACAGTCCATATGTCCAGAAGAACATAGGTAAACCCTCGACCCTTGGCATGCCAACTATACCCCTAGCTCTCATATCACATAACATGGGCATTATCATTTATAACAGTTCACATTACTTATTCATATTCTTTCTCTTATAACCACTTATCATTTCTTTTCAGTCACGTATCACATGTACGTGTAATCATTGATCTCATAACATATACTTGTTTTCACATATATATTTCATATCATTTCACATATACACTTTCATATCACATGCCATATAAGCTCATAGCTTCTTTCACATTCTCATAGGATCACATAGTTCATATCTTATACTTTGTTTTCTCATGTTCACATATATCATGTCATATGGCTCATATCTTTCTCATGCAGTCACATAGTTCAGTTTCACATATGTTCATATATATATACATTACATAGCACATACTTCTCATAACATTACATTCAAAAGCATGTTAACACATATAATCATGCATACATACAATTCATGTCATTCATATACGTATAATCATATATTCATGCATTCTAACAGAGGAAATAGACTTGTCGCAAGTCTTGTTTCCATTTAGCACCATAAACTAATTAATATGCACTCACCTGGCCTCACTAGTCAATTCAAATCTCTTATCTTTCCCCTTGATCAATCTTACTTGCCAAACGTTCCGGAATTCTTTATGCGTAGAATCTACATAAATGTACATTTCGAGGTAATCATTAGATACCTACACCTTGTAATTGGATACTAGCAACTTAAACGAACTTATTAAACCAATATTCGCATTTTCCTTTAGGGGGAATCGGTTCCCTACCATAGGGGTATCGATTCCCTCAAGACATTCTGGAATTCTGTCGTTTGAAGGGGTATCGGTTCCCCTTGAATGGGTACCGATTCCCCTTGCCCAGAAATCATATTTTCAACCCGAAAATTACTTCATTTCCACTCAAACCCTTCATATATCATCCCCTTTTCATTCTTAACTCTAGTATACATACTTAAACCAATCTATATTCATTTATTTCATCTTAAACCTCAAAATCCTATCTTCCATATGAGATTCAAAAATCATACCAAATTTTCAATGTGTTCTAATTCCAATTCTAACACTCCAAATCTCTTAATTTAACCATTGACAAGTCAAATTTAACTTCAAATTCTACTTATCAATTCTTTTCCAAAGTTTCATATAAAAACTCCAAATCTTTAATCTCTCTTAACCCCTCCATCCTTTGTTTTTAAGATGATTTAAGCTTTCCTTAAGCTTAGTTATCATCTAATAATCAAAACCCAACCTTAAAATCAACAATTCATTTACAAACAAAGAAACTTACCTTTGGCTTGCTCTCCCACGTATGAAGAAGAAGAAAAGAGAAGAGCACTCTGGAGAGTTCTCTCCCTTTTCACGTGTATATCATTCATTGAATGATCAAATGACCATTTAACCCTTAATTTCTTTTAATAATTACTAAATAACCTTCAATATATATTCAAATAATCATTGAATTATTTCATTCTTCTACTTTAGTCATCAAATTCTGAAACTTTACAATTTGATCACTAACCCGGTATTGAGGATGTTACAAATCTCCCCTCCTTATAAGAAAATTCGTCCTCGAATTTTCACTGCACATCTTAATAGGAACATATCTTCTAATGTTCTTATGTTGCTTCCCTGACTTACTCTTTCTTGTCATTATCAGAAACTTACTTTTCAATCCCTTAGTTTTTCGACTATCTTTTTCGTTTATACCTTCATCTTCTGTTGTTTATCATATAAGCAATAACCAGTAATACCAATCCATTGTTGTCTTTTCTCTCATTCGATTATGCATTTTTCCTTTGACCTTTCTAAAATTCCATATAATGTCACTCATCACGTTGACAATAACATTCATTTCATCACTCTATATATCAAAACTGTCCTCTGTACTTCCATATTTATCGTATCTGATTCTTTTAAATCAATCCCTTTCATTTCTTATACTTGTATTTTCCTTCCTGAAGGTTCCATGCAAATACTTATCTCTGTTTCTACATTATAGCTATCTGCTCAGAATATACAATTATATTCAAATTCATATCATAATCAATTAACTCAACTTATCAATTTCACCTCTATTCTCATACAT